TTGATAGCTCCTCAACCATGGAGTACAATATACAATCACAGCCAATGATTTTATAGAGTTTCACGTCCTTACATGATACCAAATAAAGAAGGCGATCCCCCAAGTCCAGCTCATCCGAAGATACTAGAAGAGGAGCAGAGAAGGGAAAACCATGTTATGGATGGGTTACATATATGTCACCTTATTATGGCTATTTGGAGAAAGGTCATAACTAAGGAGGATTTTCAAGAAAACACTCTTATGAGGGTCACATTACAGGCCCTCTTAGTAGAGGCACGACGTGTGTTACACTAGAAAAGGCATAGAAGGAACAGGGGCGTCAGATATATAGAGTAGTTGTCTTTTACTTTGTATTTTGATATTTACAGTTTGAAATTTGGAATTATGATTTGTTGTATTTTATGAACGCTGATGTATGGTTTACCAACATTTTATTTGAATATATGATCTTATTATTGAATGACAAATGTGTATGATTTATTGTGGGATTGATTTATAAATGACTTATAGTTCATTACAAAAATGTAAAATTTCTTCTAAATTACTGTCTAGGTAAGAAAAAAATTGTCCAGGGGTTTGTCCAGATTTTAAAATCTGGACTCACTCTATTCTAAGAAAACATAAATGCATGCACGCGCACTAAGTTTATGTGGATATTAAAATTCGTACATTTGTTTGACAAAAATTAGGGTGTCACTCTGATGAAGTGATTTGGTGTATAATATGTGCATTTGAATTTTAAAATTCGAACGATACGAAAGGCATATTGGGGTTTTCATAGGATGCATGATCACTGCATAGGGTGTAGTAAAGACCACTCAAAAGTAAACTTCACTATCAAATCACATATCATTTATATCACGCATTAAGGTCAATAATATTAAGATGTGAAAAGTATGCTTACATACGCACCTAAAATACACCACATTCATTCTTAAGTGAGTCACCCACCCCATTTATCCAAAACAAATAGTTTGGAAATGTAGCTTCGTACTTATGGAAGAGTGAGTCCGTATGTGCACTTCTGTAGTAACCCTGGATATATTTTCAACTCATGGTAGTGTGTTTATTTTACAACTCAAGAAATAATACAGAAGTATACTTCTGTAATAACCCTTAAGCAATAATCTTTTTACAAATTTAAATTTTTTTAAGAAATCTTATATTTTAGGTCATTTATATTATGTTTACTATCAAAAAAAATTGTAATTAATTAAATCACACACTGGTGTAAATCAAATAAAATGTCATATATTAATTCTATTAAAATCCATAATCAAATATCATTGTTGATAAATTACAAACCATAATGACCCCCCCCCCCCCCCCCCAGTTCTTCTCTGCTTCCTCTACTTAAATGCAGTACCTGCCTTAGATAGAATGATCTCTATAATGGCCCTCACAGGAGTGCCTTCTGAAAACCCCCATCTCTATAAACATGCTCGCGCAATAGCCATAATACGCTAACATGCAGGTAACACATCAACAACATGATATGTCCTAGTCTGCGCCTCTTTTAATATCTCCTGATTAGTTGGCATAAGTAGATCTTCTTAAGCATTTGGTGTCATTTAAGGATGTGACACTCTGAAATACTATTGGATGTAGTTGAATGTACTATTTCGTGGATGAGGAGCTGGCACACTTCGTGCTTCTTCTAGTATCAGATGATTATAGATATCATTAAACATCGCATCAACATTTTTACAGACCATAGTGGGAGGAATAGACATGAAGGGGTTTCTTGGAGTAGCATGTTGAATCTCAAATTGTAGCATGACTCGCTCAGGCATATGTGGATGCATTAGGCGTGAACCACAAGCCATCTGTCTAGAGTAGAAGGTTATGTCATCCAAGGGAAGCGTTTGATTGTAATCTTCGTACGGTGTGAAGCGTATATCATCTGCTGTAGTGTCCATAATAAGCACTTTTGTCCACAAATATGGACGTGTCAACCAAATACATGAGGTATGACCTCTATGCACATGCTTTATGATGCAAAACATATGCATCATCACTGTCGTACTTCACTTTTGCAGCCAGATGATTTCTGTACAACTCCTCCAGAAATGCAAATCTAGTCTGACACCCTCTGGTGTCATCCATCTCCTTTTGGGCATCACATGAGTCAGCTCTTAAATAGGTCACCATCATGTATAACACACCAGGCCTAGTGATTTTGGATTGGTCTAATAGTATTCCCTTAATCGAAAGATGTAATAGAGATGACACAACATCTAGTGTGATGGACATCTCACCATTCAGAAGATGAAAAAAATAACGTATATGAGTGTCATCTCTCCATAAAAGTTAATAACATACCATGGTTAATAACAGTATAACCAGTTGTGGATAAACTTTGCAGCCCAGATAGCTGCATGACATCATGAAACCATTTATCCCCAAGTTATTGCAACTTTGCAATCTTCCTATCGTGGTTGATGCATTTTAAAGCATCACAGTACTGCAAAATAAATATGTCACTGTTAGCAAGTTCAAATATTTTACACATATATTTCAGAGAATAAATACATATTTATTTTACCTCTTCACCCCACACGTGCCTAGAAGCATAGTTTGCATACAAAGGCGGTAGTAAAGTGTCATAAGGGTCTCCTCCAAAAACCTCAAGAAGGACATCATGAAAAAGAACATCAATAGTATGATGATGAAAATGGACTTCGGGGCTATAATATGTGACATATGCCTCTGGGAAAATGAAGTGGAGGCACCTGAACTTTAGAAGTGAACGCTTTCGCATCAAATGAACTGGCATCAATCAGTGGTTGTGAGGGTCTCTCTCTCTCTCTCTCTCTCTCTCTCTCTCTCTCTCTCTCTCTCTCTCTCTCTCTCTCTCTCTCTCTCTCTCTCTCTCTCTCTCTCTCTCTCTCTCTCTCTCTCTCTCTCTCTCTCTCTCTCTCTCTCTCTCTCTCTCTCTCTCTCTCTCTCTCTCTCTCTCTCTCTCTCTCTCTACGAACAGATGCATGTTGCGACATTCGATCATGCCTCAATTGATCTTTTTTGTCAGCCATTTTACCTATAAATAAACCAAATGAAAGACATGCAAAATCAAACAAAGCAAATAAAGCAGACAAAATCAAATACATATGACAGACATGCAAAATCAAATAATGCACACAAAATACAGAAGTGCATTTTTGTAACTCAAAAAATCAAATTCAGACAAAATATAGAAGTGTTCTTCCGTATTTTCTTTAAACTCAACAATGGCATAAAATGCATAAACCTAACATGTCATATGCTCTAAGCATTAAAAAAAATGTCAATGCATGCCTCAATAAACTATGTATTATAAGTGTAACTACAATCCAATATATCTTTAAAAAAAACTATTTAGTAATGCATCATCACAAATAAATAAAAAAAATAAAAAAAGAAGAAAAATGAAAAGAATTACCAAATATGATAAGTGGAAGCTCTTAGATTAAATTGACTTGAATAGTGATTGATAAAAGCTCTTGGATTAGGTGCAATATAGCATAAAGTTTGAGAAAGATTGGAAAATGGTGGATTTGAGGTTTCTTATGCGCACCATTTCTTTGTTTTAGAATGAATTTTGCTAAAAATGAGGAAGAGGAAAGTTTGACAGGCTAATAACACTTAAAAGCATGTCCGGAGGCATACTTCTTTATTTTGCAAAGATGCATCTTTGGACAAAATAAATGTGATTCAGTTATAAAATAATGTGATTCAGTTATAAAATAATGTGAAATTTTTATGCATACGAAAATGTATCTCCGAATTTGAAAAATATTAAGTTTTTCACTAGAGTGTATAAGCACCACTAAAAATGCAATAACCAAATCTCCATAATATATTGAAAACTCTTTACCTCAAATAAATTAAGATATAAAAATACATTTGTATGTAGGGTTTATCTTCACCAAACAATCTATTATAAAATTGAGATAGAGTCTGTCGTAACTCAAATATGGGGAAAAAAATGATTTGAGAAATAAGTATGAGAGTAAAATAATAAAAGAAAAAAAAACTCTAAATTCTAGTTTTAAATCAAAATCAATTATAATATATATATATATATATATTTTCAGCTAATCTTTTTAAGTGTGCAATTGTTTCAGCTTAAAAAAATAATTTTTTTTATACTTTTAAAAATAATGTTTATAAAATGTGTTTTAAAATATTAAAAACTTTTTAATTTGCTTTTTTTTATAAATTAAAAAGATTAGTTTTGACACCCTACAACATAAATATGCATTATTGAAAATTAAAACACATTCGAAATCACAATTTTTTCAAAAATAAATGTTATGAAAATATATTTAAAATAACTTCAAATTTAAATATTTTCAAATTTGATATATAAAAAATTATAACAAAATGATGAAATACCTAAAATAACATTCTAAAAATAAATATTTAAAATGTGTGTGTGTCTCTGTGTGTGCGTGCGTGCACGTGTGTATCTGTGCGCGCTCGTTCGTTTTCAAAAATATTGAAATTTTCATATAAAAAGATAAGTGGAAAAAATAGGTGATGCCAACAAAAAAAAAGGATATAAGACATGGATAGATAATACGCATACAAGTGAAATAAACAAAATTCATTAAAAAAATTATAATAATAATATAAATCATCTATTTGAACAATCTAATTGAGTATGTCTATAATTTTATTAAAGGTGTACACCGCAATCAATGTGTCTTATTCTATAAAAAAAAATGTAAACATAATTCATTAATGTGAGCTTTTGTATAGAGACTTGCACTTCATGCAGATCCCTTTTGGACTACTGGCAACCCAGTTCCATGTAACTCAGGTGTCAACAAAAAGTATATTGAAAATTCAAACTTCAACAGAAATGGATCAAGAACTTAATACTCTGGTTGCTTATGAGTTTCTTTCAGCTCCATGCCGCAGAAAAAATATGTAGAATAATTTAAATTCAATAATAGTACAACAGAGGTATAAATTTAAATCCAAGAAGGTTCCACAAGACTATGAGGGCAATTTGCACCTTATGAAGAAGTCACTTTCGGTGTTATCTTCTTACTTCTTTTATTTTTAAGAGGGGACAAATGAATGGAGTTTATATTAGCTGCTGGGATCTCAGGATTTGAATTATGCTTCTCGTGTTGTTCGAGAATATTACTGCAATCATTGATGATTTTTCCATCTATAAGACCCAAATTATATAGTTTGATCCTGAACATTGTCCAATACCTGCCAAAAAAATTGCAGATGTTTATATATTAAAAAATACAAGTGTGCAATAATGTGTGGCATTTTGACCAGGTAAAGCCACAAAAAAGTGCTACAATAGCATAAAATATTGAATTTTGTCAAACCAATCATCTTCATAAAATTGCTTTTGAAGATTGTACGTGTCGTCATATGATTATGTTCCAAGACTGATAAATAAAAAAAGCCATTACAGTAAAAGGAAAACAAGTTGGGTATAAATTTCTAAAAGGGGGCACTCTAACACAAGAGAGATGGTAGTTACCAAGTTAATTTGCGGGATTTAACAATCTCGGAGCCATGCAATACTGAGAAAGCCTTACATGCCCAACGAATGTGAGAATCTATCCGCACACTGCCACAAGAAGAAAATAATTAGAAATAGAAAGTAAAATTCAGAAAGGACAAGCATAAAATACATGTGCTGTTACTTGTTAGTGACAGCAAGAAACAAATATGAAGCATGCAACAACAAGTGAATGCCTTTTGAACCAAAATAAAAAGAACTTACCGTTGCTTCCGAATAAATGAGTTCCACATGAACATAAATTGCTTCTCTTCTTTGCTCAAAGGATGAAGATCAAGCTTCTGCAAGGTATCAGGGTGTATCAATGTTCTTCAAGAAATAAGCATGAACAATTGTAAAAAGTATAACAGCTTCAGCTACAGCCTGCAGGAAGTTGTTTGGGTGCTCAAAAAAGAACACCATGTGCCTTCTTACTCTATATACCATTGGGTCATCATGAGGAGCATCCACATTGGGACAAGAGCAACACACAAGTGAGAGAGACACCACATATTCACCAAAAACCTTAAGGTGATAGGTATATGGGTTCTCTCACTTATAAAGTGCTCAACCTCCACTTTCTTAACCAATGTGGAACCTCCAACTCCCTTATACACAACATATACTTTCTTAATTCAGTACTAGTTAGTTCCTGAGTGGCGTATTGTAAGTTTTCACTTCAGTCTTATGCTTGTCGAATTTTAAGATCTTGTGCCAGTTTATATGGTTTCTACATGACCTGCGGTTGTAGTTTGATATATTGAGTATTCTCTTTCGTATGATTTGGAATTCACCACGGGTTTCTATCATGTGATTAGTTTAGTTAATAGTTGCAGTAATTTGGTAGTTTAAAAAATAACTGAAACCAAGACAGTTTTCATTGTTATTCTGACATGGTTCATTTTTGAAAGCAACACAATGAGTGGTAATGAAGAAAGTTTGAGTGGCCTGGGGAATAACCAGTTCGGACTGTTGGTGGCATTGCTGAGAGAGCTGATGATGATAGATTCCTTAAAGGAGAGGCTATGGTGTAAATATGGAAACTGTGAGCTGGATTACAATTGACCAACAGAGATGCAATCTCATCAGGGGTAAGTCTGATCACGGCAGTTGACAAGGATAAACCAAACTGAACTCAAAAACCAGTCCGAATGAACTTGGTCATGGCAGTTGACAAGGATAAACCAAACTGAACTCAAAAACCAGTCCGAATACTGAACTCAAAAACCAGTCCGAATGAACTTGAACGGACAAACTTTGTTACACATGTTTCTATATTACTTCCTCCATGCAGGTTTTTGTTAGGAAACTACGCAACATTTCCTCATAGTCAAATTTGTGAAATAGCGATATAAATGCGGAATAATAACACACAGAAATTGATACGGGCTACTGCAGACTTTTTATTTACTGAAAAGATAAAATACACATTGTATTTAAGAATTTCTCTCACTCAGTTTTTCTCACTGGTGTATTTCTCTAGTTATTGAAAATACTCTCAATGTTGGAATGAATATTGTTTTGGTTGACATCTTATATAGCCAAAGCATTGGATGCATCATCCATAATCCATTCATTACGGTTCCTATAAAGTAGAAACATCTTCCATTTACTTCTAAATAATAAGAAAACAATGATCATCCAAATAATAAGAAAACAATGACATTTTCAACAATCTTCCACTTGAAGATTGACTTCAGTCGGTCTTCACACCTTGATGAAATGTGATCTTTAACGAAAGAGTGATGTACAAGGACAAACAAAATACAGATGCCAGCATCTCAGATTCGAGTGGACCAGTTTACGCAGAGGTGGACGATGCCCAGAGAGTCCTATAGTTGATAATCCTCAGCTAGAGGAAACAATTGAACAAGGCAGTGAGCAACAGCCTGACATATCAGAGCCTCCGACTCCAACTCCTCTATTGAGAAGGTCTTCTAGAACTCATGTTCCTAACAGGAGATACATGGACTATATGTTATTGACAGATGAAGGGGAGCCTGAAGATTATGTAGAAGCATGTCAAACCGCAGATGCTAGCAAGTGGGAACTTGCTATGAAAGACGAGATGAAGTCTTTGATCTCCAATCAGACATGGGAACTTGCTGAGTTACCTATGGGAAAAAGGGCACATCACAACAAATGGGTGTATCGGGTGAAGGAGGACCATGATGGCTCCAAGAGATACAAGGCCCGACTAGTTGTCAAAGGATTTCAAAAAAAAGAAGGGGTTGACTACACTGAAATTTTTGCTCCAGATGTGAAGCTCAATACTATCAGGTATGTGTTAAGTGTTGTTGCCAGTGAAGAGCTCTGCCTAGAACAGTTGGATGTGAAGACTGTGTTTCTTCACGGAGACTTAGATGAGGAGATCTACATGTATCAACCAGAAGGTTTCTCAAAAGAAGGGAAACATAAAATGGTGTGCAGATTAAAGAAGAGCTTGTATAGTCTAAAACAAGCTCCAAGACAGTGATATAGGAAGTTTGAAAGCTTCATGCACAAGGAAGGTTTCCAAAAGTGCAATGCCAACCACTGATGTTTCTTTAAGAGATATCATTCAAGATATATCATTTTATTACTTTATGTCGATGATATGTTAGTAGCAGGTCCAGATATTGATGAAATCAGAAACTTGAAGATGCAATTGTCAAAAGAATTTGACATGAAGGACTTAGGTCCAGCAAAAAGGATTCTTGGAATGCAAATTACGAGAGATAAGAGGAATTTTGCAGTTATCTCAGGCGGAGTACATCAACTGTGTTTTGCAAAGATTCAACATGGACAATGTCAAACCAGTTAGCACCCCTTTAGCTAGTCATTACCAGACCCCAAGACACAGAGGAAGAAAAAGAATTGATGGCTAAGATTCCATATGCTTCAGCCATTGGAAGTTTGATTTAAGCGATGGTATGCACGAGGCCAGACATTGGCCATGCAGTGGGAGTTGTAAGCATGTTTATGTCAAATTCAGGTAAAGCACATTGGAAAGCTGTGAAATGAATTTTGAGGTATCTATGAGGCACTAAGGAGAAGCGTTTGTGTTTTAGTAAAGGTTGTTAAGAAATGTGGTTGGGCCTAACTCAACCCTACAAAACCGGTTGGTAGAGTGAGGATTGCCTCCACTTATAAACACATGTTCATGCCATATATTGTCCGATGTGGGACTCTTAACACACTCCCTCACGCTCAGGACCGGACAACTGAAGTGTGGAAATAAATGGTGGGTGGCCCGATGGCAGAAACCATAGAAGGTGGCCCACCGGATCTTAAACGAGACTCTGATACCATGTTAAGAAATGTGGTTGGGCCTAACTCAACCCTACAAAACCGGTTGGTAGAGTGAGGATTGCCCCCACTTATAAACACATGTCCATGCCATATATTGTCCGATATGGGACTCTTAACACACCCCCTCACGCTCACGACTGGACAACTGAAGCGTGGAAATAAATGGTGGGTGGCCCGATAGCGGAAACCATAGAAAGTGGTCCACCGGATTTTAAACGAGGCTCTGGTACCATGTTAAGAAATGTGGTTGGGCCTAACTCAACCCTACAAAACCGGTTGGTAGAGTGAGGATTGCCCCCACTTATAAACACATGTTCATGCCATATATTGTTCAATGTGGGACTCTTAACAAAAGGTGAATTGAAAGTACAGGGCTATGTAGATGGGGACTTTGCTGGTGAAGTTGATCACCGAAGAAGTACCACCGGTTACATATTTATTGTTGGTACTACAGCTGTTAGTTGGATGTCGAGGATACAAAAGATCGTTGCTCTATCCACTATAGAGGTCGAGTATGTAGCAATAACAGAAGCTAGCAAAGGGTTGATATGGCTTCAAGGATTGTTGACAGAGTTGGGATTCATCCAAGAGAGGAGTGTTTTGCATAGCAACAGGCAGAGCGCAATACATCTAGCTAAGAATTCAGCATTCCACTCTAGAGCGAAGCACATTGATCTCTGTTATCACTTCATCAGAACTCTGCTTGAGGATGAGATACTAACGTGGAGGAAGATTCTCGGAAGTAAGAACCCAGCAGACATGTGGACAAAGGTGGTGACTATTAATAAACTGAAGTTGTGCTCAACTTCAATTGGCCTGCTAGAATAACATACCAGAGAAGGTTGCTGCATGATCGAGGTGTGAAGACTGACTGAAGTCAATCTTCAAATGAAAGATTGTTGAAAAAGTCATTGTTTTCTTATTATTTGGATGGTCATTGTTTTCTTATTATTTAGAAGTAAATGAAAGATGTTTCTACTTTATAAGAACCGTAATGAATGGGTTACGGATGATGCATCCAATGCTTTGCCTATATAAGATGTCAAAGCAAAACAATATTCATTCCAACATTGAGAGCATTTTCAATAACTGGAGAAATAGACCAGTGAGAAAAACTAAGTGAGAGAAATTCTTAAATATAATGTGTATTTTATCTTTTCAGTAAATAAAAAGTCTACAGCAGTCCGTATCAATTTCTGTGTATTATTATTCCACATTTATATTGCTATTCCACAAATCTAACTATGAAGAAATATTGCATAGTTTTCTAACAGTTTTCACTCATCACTTCACCATATCATAGACATTTGAAACCATAAATAAATAATGCAAGAAAAATATAAAATGTCCAGTTCGTTAGGGGTCAGTTTCGGGATTTAGAAGGAGAGGGGAAGGTTTTGGGTAAAAACGAGGAAAGGAACATGGAAGCAAAGATAGTCCCAACTTGAGTTGGGGAGTTTATTTTTCTTCATAATAAAAATTCCATAAAATCAGATAACTAAAAAATTGTAGTTGATAGGATTTTAAATGGCTAAGATAAATTTTTCGAGTTGAATCTATATTATTAAAAGTACTCTCAAAATTAAAAATATATTAATAATAAACATTTATCTATCATTCTCTACAAAAATACACTCCCAAATAAGGCGTAAATTTTTTCTTCTATTTTCATCTTTTCCCCTTCCTCAAAGTCATCCCCAACCCTCCAAACTCCCAAATATAATCTTAAGGAATTTGTTTTGCTGGAGACTGTTCAGAGTCACAAAAAAGTTTAGAGAACTCATTTAAAAACTAGTTATTTTGTTTCTCTTAGGGTTTTCTTTTTCTTTCCCCTCTCTAATCTCTATGTATCTCAATAGTTTATAGTAAAAATGGTTAAAAAATTCCAATTGTTGAGCCTCAGGGTTAACCATAAAAATTCAATAAGGAAAACAAATATAAAGCTCCGTAAGAGTTTTGTTGCTTGATAAAAGATACAGTTAGAGAAAATAGACATATAAAATTAAAATAGAAGATCACATGTATTTGTACATACCCTCCGCTCTTCAATATCGGCAACTTCATCATCAACTTCATCCTCACTATCATAATTTGATAGAACTTCTTCAAGTGACATTGCCTTCAAGAAAAAGGTAGAGAAAAATGAGCAGAGGATATCAGAAATATGATTATTGCAAAGGTAAAGTATAAATTCTCAACAAAATGAAACTAGACTTTAATTTAAAAAATAAATAAGTAATATTCGGCATAAAAGAATGCTGTTCCAATTTGAGCAGCCACATCTGAATCACAACAACAACCACCAAGTATTATCTCGCAACATGGAGATGCCTCCATCAATCGGACGACACCAAAATATTTTATTATATATTATTTCTTGTATCGAAACTGCATTCTTTTTTCTTTCATCAAAGTTTTAACCCAGTATTTATTTCCTAGCCAACAAAGTTAAAATATTGTATTTTAGAAATTTAAAAATTGCAATTAAAGACCAAAATAACAACCACTCAACCAATGTTAAATGAATGGGATAAATAACTCATTTTTTATGGGAAGGATTGAATTTAGGCCTCTCAATAGAGCTTAGTTCGTGGTTTTTTAAAGAAAATTTCCATTAACATACAAAGAAAATAAAGGTGCAGGAAAACAAATGGTGGTGACTCATCACCTGAGCTTTGTGAGAATGATAAAACTGCCGCTTCTTCAATCGGGCTATGCTGAAATGGTTTGGAAAGAATTAAGTCAAATTTGTGTCCACGAAATCATTGTACTTTTATAGCAAGTGTTATGAATTTTTAATCACAAAGTAGAAAAGTATAAGTTACAGTTTATTTAAATAAAGTCTATAAACAATAATCATACTAATCTAGGTATCACATGAAAAAATATTTTATACCACAGTGCGAATATATCAGTACTTGTTTCTATTAAATCTGAATATTACATGAGATATTGAACATACTAACTCTAATCTCTATTCTAACCTAATGGGTTTTACTAAATGTCCAAACATAAATTACTACTAATAATACTAAAAATAACAACAGTAAAATAAACTATTTACAACAGTTTCCTTATTTAATTAGGATTAAGAGCCTAGGATCAATATAAATTAGGACTAGTGATTTATATTTGTAAAAACAACAACCATATCATTCAATGATATATCTATATAATTTTAGTACGCTGAGAATTCTTTTTCCTCCCTCTACATCTAAAAAACTAAATTATATAAATGTCAAATTTTTGTAATTTTTTATGACATCAACCATATTTGACCTAGAAATATATCAATTCTGGATTTATGAATAGAATGAAAAAAAAAAAAAAGTAAAGCCCATCTGTGCGTTGTTAAACAGACCTTCTAATTGACGTACACATGTGTTTAAAAGTTAACAAAACCGAAATCAACACCCTGTTAGCCACAAAAAATACGTTCCCAAATGCACATTTTGACAATCAGCTATATTCAAGGGCTTTGTAAATTATTATGTCATTCCAAGATTATGAAGGGCGGCTCAAACTGAAGATATGTTTATGTTACAATCAAGGCATCGTTGATCAATCAAGAGAACAGTTTTATACTTTAATAATATGCCAGTGATTTATTACATCAAACAAAGTATTGTGAGATGGAACTTATTTTGTTTGAGACTATATTTCATTTTAGCAACATTTTAGTATTGTAATTACCATTCTAATCAAGCATCTAAGAAGTTACAAGAATCAAAGAAGCTGTTTTTGTTTTCAAAGGATAGAAAAAAGATCAAGGACATACTTTTGTGGATCAAAATGCTCAACTGGTAACTTCCCTGTATTGCCAATCCGTGGCACTGCAGGAGTCCTGTGATCATGCTTAGATATTAGTGGGACACAGTTTGGATCAGGATTGGGCACAATACTTGCATTAGCATCCCCTGCAATGTCATAGCAAAATGTGACACATTCCTTACGTTGCACCAATAATGCTCAAACTCTACAACTATTCCATCTGACATATGATCAACACATATTAACAATTAAGTCATAAAAAAAAAAGGAATTAACAAACTTTTATGAAGGGGAAATATATTCCAACTTTGAGTAGGTATCAGCATAGACATGTCATGATTAATTGCAGAAGTGAGTACTGGATATTCAAGAATCAACAGAGGAAAACCATTCAAAGCCATTATTTTGTTTTGGAAAATATTAAATAGCCTTATTTTTCTTCTATATGCAGTTGACACGGTTATTAACTTTTAAATGGAGACCAGGTCCCCAAAATGTGACATATCCCACAATTGCACTGAATTCTGTTGAGCTTCGCTGGCTATATCGCACTATTCATAAAGCTTTTAAGCACATAACTCAACAACTAAAGTACCTGATATAGTTGCAGAATTTCCATCAATCTTCTTTAAAAATCCATTATCACCTAAAGGAGTTTCAGACTCTAAGAATTGTGGGTCTGCATCCATGGCCAAGACCGGTGGGTCTGCATCCATAGCTAGAAGAGGCGGGTCCGCACCCATAGCTACGAGCGGTGGGTCTGCATCCATAGCTAGGAGAGGCGGGTCCGCATCCACAGCTAGGACAGGTGGGTCTGCATCCACAGCTAAGACAGGAGGGTCTGCATCCACAGCTAAGACAGGCGGGTCCGCATCCACTGCTAAGACAGGCGGGTCCGCATCCACTGCTAAGACAGGCGGCTCTGCATCCACGGTTAAGACCGGCGGCTCCACATCCGCGGTTAAGACCGGCGGGTCTGCATCCGCGGATAAGACTGACGGGTCCGCACCCGTAGCTAAGACTGGCGGATCCACATCCATAGCTAATACCGGCGGGTCCGCATCCTTAGCTACCGGCGGGTCCACTTCCATAGCGAATACCGGCGGGCTCACATCCATAGCTAATACTGGTGAGTCCGCATCCATAGCTAAGACCGGTGAGTCTGCAACCACCAGCGGGTCTGCATTCAAAGCTAAGACCGGCGGGTCTGCATCCATAGCTAAGACCGGTGGGTCTGCATCCATAGCTATGGCCGGGTGGTCTGCATTATTTGCTAAGGCCGGCGAGTCTACATCCTGGACCACTTCAAAACATGCATTTTCTGGACTTATGTGTGTCATTCGCTTGCCACTGCATATAAATATTATCAATTGACCATTTTACTTCATCAACAGTTGTAGTGAAATTTATGAAGACCAAAAAATTTCAGAAAGGTATAGGAAATAAATAGCTTACTGAAGGAAAAAAGTTTCCAATTTTGGATCAACACCATCTCCAACAAGCTGTAGGGAAATCAATCAATAAGTTTATGGAGAAAACACATATATCCAAATGCATTCATGCAAAAACTTTAGACAGTTTTGTCAAGCTTTTCGATGTTTCTACACAGATGCACAGTGCAAGATTAATACAGTGCAAATGAAATCCACCATCCTACATGATTGAGCTACTGTGTACCAACGCAATAGTGTTGTAGCTATTGGACATCATCTCATATACAGGTTACAGAACAACACCAATTTCAAGTTCAGTGGAATAGAGACCTGAAACAGCAAACTGCTAACCAAGAACACAACTCAAGAATGACTTCTACAATGCACATTCTCAGACGAGAAAAGCCCACTAAACATGGACAAATAGCATGTTTACATTAAAACTAACTACCTTACTATGTTTGTTGTTTTAATCCCTATTTAAATTTTATTTTAAGGACTTAATGAATATAATTTAAGTAAAGACTGCTAGCAAAATTCTTTCATATTTTAATTGACCAAAAACATTTATAAACCAAAGAAATCTTATTAGAAATGGACTGAAATGGGAATAATAAAAGAGGAAGTTAAGAAATAATAAAGGTAACAAATAAAAAGATTAAAAACAAACATGTCTGAAACAATAATGCTCTCTCCAATTGCTACTTCACATTTCAGCTCGGGAAACCCCTAAGAAACCATATTCCAAGATCCAAAGAAGGACCAATAAGATTATTTTCCCAAATCAAAATTGGGTAGCTGAGAGGAATTCTCAATATGGAACAATAAAACATTTATTTTCAAGTTGCATTTAAGATGCACCACTTCAAATGCAGTGCACCTATGCACAACTATCTTCTTACAATTAGATATACTGCATTATAAATAAATGATTCAGGTCAATTGAAACTTGTTAATGGGATTAGGTTCCGCAATTTTTATAGGGTTATGTTATTTTGACATCAAACTTTAACAACAAACTAAGTGGTTAAAGCAATTTAAATAAGTGGCTAACCATGTTCAAGATATGGTAAATGGATATAACTAAGGTGTTGTAACGTATTAACCATCAACTTAACACAACTAACCACAATGAATCTTGATGGGTAAGGTACCTCAAAAAGCTTGAAATCTGAAGGCTCAGTTCTGGCCACTAGGAACTTCAATGAAGGTGAGAAGTCGAACAAATCTTGGTACAATCACTGAAAACTCACATAGCATACCCATGAAACATGTGGGAAATTCAATGGCAAGCCTCTTAATTGAAAGAAGAAGGTGGTAATGAAGCTCATGCACTCCATACCAATAACTCTGATCAAGAGCATCAATCTTCTTCAACTCAGGTTTCACTCACACCAGTAATTCTGATCAAGAGCATCAATCTTCTTCAACTCAGGCTTCACTCACAGCGCAACAACTAGACAAACTGTTTAAACTCCTCGAAACTCATTCTCCTTCTTGCTCTCATTCACCTTCTTGCTCTATAGCGCAAAAAGGTAATTATACCCTTCTTATTCTCAATCTCCACCATACTTAGATAGTGGATTTAGGTGCAATAGATCACATGACAAGTGAATCCATTGTGTTTTCTTCATATAGTCCTTGTGCAGTTAATCAAAAAATAAAATTTGCAAATGACTCTTTTTCATTTTCAGTCATTGCATGTAAAAGTTGAATGTTGATACTTAAAGATGTTCAACATGTTCCAAACCTATCATGTAATCTAGTTTCTGTCAGTAAACTAACCCAGGATTAAAACTGTCTAACTAACGTTTTTTGTTCTCACTATGTCTTTTTTTGTTCTTACTATGTCTTCCAGATTTAAACAATGGGAAGATGATTGGTAGTACTAAGGAGGATAGAGGACTCTATTGCTTAGACTTTAGACCTGAATCACACCTATCTTCCAAACTAATAAATTCCTGCTTCGAATCTTTTTGTTTTGAATAATGATAGTGGCGTTATGGTATGCCTTTTATGATTAGGTCATCCTAATTTTTGTTTTTTAAAACACGTTTCCTATTGTATTTCATGATAAAGATTTGTCTTTGTTTAAATGTGAATTCGCAAAATATCATCGTCATTCCCACTTTCCAATACAACTTTATACTACAATAACAACAACCAAGACTTATCCCACTAAGTGGAGTCGGCTACATGGATCAACTTTCATTATAATATTCTATCAAATACCATGCTTCTATCCAAATCGTTAATCTAGAGGTCTTTCTTATTAACTTCTCTTATAGTTTTTTTAGATCTTCCTCTATCTCTAGTTGTTTGACTTCTCTCCATTTGATCTACTCTCCTTACCACAAAATCTATAGGTCTTCTCTCTACATGCCCAAACCACCTAAGTCTATTTTCCACCATCTTTTAGGTGTTACCCCAACACTTTTTATTATTGTCATTTCTAGTCATATCACAGTATTATTTGTTATCCACTATGATGTTTAGGACCCTAACCGAACGAGTGCAATTTTTCACAAAAGTATGTTAGGTAATTGTTAAACGGAAAATCTTGTTTGATAGAACACCTTAAGGTAAAATTTTGGGAGGATTTAGAAGGTTTACTCCTGGATATACACCAATGAGAGAAGTTCTTTTTAGGAGAAGATATAAATGGACATGTAAGGAGTGTAGCAAGAGGTTTTGAGGGCGTGCATGAGGATATGGCCTCGCGGAAGTAAATGCGGAGGAGGGTAAATCCATCTTGGATTTTTCGTCGGCTTTGATCTTACTATAGCTAATACCTGGTTTAGAAAAAGAGGTGAGCATCTTATCACATATAAGAGTGGGATGACATGTTCTCAAATAGATTTCTTCCTTATTAGGAAGTCGGACAAGAAGATTTGTTTGGATTGTAAAGTTATTCGGGAGAGAGCTTGACTACCCAACATAGGGTATTGGTTATGGATGTAAGAATCAATATGGCAGTGAAGAGAAGGAGTCACATGGGAGCGCTACGAATTAAGTGGTGGCATTTGAAGGGTGAAAAACAATTAAGTTTCCAGTATAAGATCTTGGAGGGAGGGTTTGGACAACCACAAGGAAGTGCAAATGATATGTGGAACAAGATGGCCTAAGAGATTAAAAAAGTAGCTAAAAAGACGTTGGGAGAATCAAGAGGTTTTGGACCTAGGGGTAAAGAATCGTGGTAGTGGAGTGAAAGTCTTCACATTAAAGTTAGAGTTAAAAAGGATTGTTTTAAAGAATGGCCTAGTTGTAAAAATGCTGAAACTTGAAAAAAGTATAAGAAAGTTAAGAATGAGACCAAGGCGGTGAGTGAAGCAAGAACCCTAAGCTTATGACGGTTTATACCAAACTTTGGGAGCCAAGGAGGGAGAAAAACCGATATATAGGCTTGCTAAGGGAAGAGAAAGAAAGACGAGATTTGGGTCAAGTGAAGTGGGTTAAAGATGAAGGAGGCAAAGTTGTGGTTCCGAAAAAGGATATAAAGGATAGGTGGAAGATTTATTTCTACAATTTATATATTGAAGGATATGATATCTCTCCAGACTCTAGCAAACTCGACATTAGAGAAAAGGATCGAAGCTATAATTATTATTGTCAGATTCAGATACAAGAGGTAAAAGAAGCGTTGAAAAGGATGAGTAACAGTAAGGCGGTTAGGTTAGACAGCATACCTATTAAAGTGTGAAAAATTCTTGGAGATAGAGTATTGAGTGCCTCATCAAACTCTTTAATAAAATTATGAGATCAAAGCAAATGTCGGATTAATGGAGAGAAGCACTTTAGTTTCAATCTATAAGAATAAGGAAGATGTTCAAAATTGTCCAAATTATATAGAGATTAAACTTACGAGTCATACCATGAATTATGGAAAGAGTGATTGAACAATGACTAAGAAAAGAGACTCAAGTCACTAAGAATCAATTTGCTTTATGCCTGAGAGGTCGACCATGAAGTGATTTATCTACTACGATGGGTGATGAAGCAGTATCGGATGGACCAATATGACTTGCATTTAATTTTTATTGACTTGGAGAAGTCGTATGATAGTGTCTAGAGAGATTTTGTGGAAAGCCTTAGAGAAGAAAGAGGTTAAGATTGCATACATTTGAGCTATCTGAGATATAATATGAAGTGGTATCGACTAGTGTGCAGACACAAGATGGAGAAACAGAAGATTTTTCCATTACAATAGGTTTGCACCAAGGTTCAACCCTAAGCCCCTACCTTTTTACTTAAATTTTGGATGTACTCACGGAGCACATACAAGAGTTAGCTCCAAGATGCATGTTTTTTGCTGATGATATAGTCCTATTTGGAGAGCCGAAGGAGATTTAAACGAGGTTGGGGACTTGGAAAGAGCTTTAGAACGCATGGCTTTCACCTAAGCAGAAGTAACACGAAATATATGGAATGTAAGTTCAGCAAAAAGAGAAGTGTTTATAACTGTTCAAATACAAGAGACTAAAAGACATTTGAATAAACCGTGTTTTAAAATATATTAGAGAGAGAGAGAGAGATTACACCTACTTGTTCGACACTATACTTCGATTCTGCCCTTAGAAAAGGAACATCTGCTCTAACAATTCCGTCTCCGTCTGGCATGCAACGAGCAGACGTCAGCATAAAGGGTCCCGAAGAGAGAGAGAGAGGAGAGAGAGAGAGAGAGATGAGAGAGAGAGATGAGAGAGAGAGAGAGAGAGAGAGAGAGAGAGAGAGAGAGAGAGAGAGAGAGAGAGAGAGAGAGAGAGAGAGAGAGAGAGAGAGAGAGAGAGAGAGAGAGAGAGAGAGAGAGGAGAGATGAGAGAGAGAGAGAGAGAGAGAGAGAGAGAGAGAGAGAGAGAGAGAGAGAGGAGAGAGAGAGAGAGAGAGGAGAGAGAGAGAGAGAGAGAGAGAGAGAGAGAGAGAAGAGAGAGAGAGAGAGAGAGAGAGAGAGAGAGAGAGAGAGAGAGAGGAGTGAGAGAGAGAGAGAGAGAGAGAGAGAGAGAGAGAGAGAGAGAGAGAGAGAGTGAGAGAGAGAGAGAGAGAGAGAGAGAGAGAGAGAGAGAGAGAGAGAG